TTTATTTTTTGATAAAAGTTGCAAAATACTAACAATACTTCATGCCTTCACTTCCAGCCAACTTACTCATGTGACTTGAGAATAATTTTCAACAATAGTTATAAAGTACCAAAACCTTCAGTATACAGCAGAGGTAGAACTCTTAATGTTAGTATGAATTAACTCAAATGGGAAACTATTTGGGTTTGAAAGGATGAAAAGGGTTCTTGATGGTGTGTACGTGGCTCATAGCCGTTACATTCAAATATGCAGATGTGGTGATAGTAACTAAATCTTGAAAGTTTTTGTGGCGGAGGATCTTCACACAATAGTGCCATTGATATGGGGTAAATGGTTAAGGGACCAAGCAATAAGCTTTACTAACTTTAACTCCTCAAATCATAATTTGATAATGAGATAACAAGAGGGATGCAAAGTTACAAAACACTTGACGAAATTATAGAACATATAAGCATCTGTGTGAGAGAGAGAAGATCTTTGGTGAATGCTTTGGCGAACGGAGGAGATGCATAATTATCAATAAAAATTATAGGCCATAAAAATTTGCCAAAGATGAGAAAAATGGGTTAATTAGTAGTCATGTGTGAAAAAATATTAGAGTTTGGAATCTTGGATGTATCATAAGCAACCGCCACTAAGCTATAGGAAATGAAATAGGTGACAGACTCGTGTGCCTGAGAATGCTGAACCATGTGGTCATGGAAAACCTAGAAGAGATAGTTGAAAGTTGAAGAACCAATAAAAATCAAGAAGGTTTTTAGGCTGATCAAACGAAGCTCTGAAGATTGATTAGTATGGCTGTAGTGAGAGCAAGGGGTAAAATTCTTTCCCTCATGATCATGACCACTTGGTCATTTTGATTCCTCACAACAAGGAAAAACTAGTTAGAAACCAATCAAGCGAGTAAAAATGTTTGAGACTTAAAAGAACTTTCCAAGATAATAGTAGATTGTAGAACATGTCATCAGCTATGGTTTTATATGCTAAAATGATGGATGGAGCTCTGTATTAATTTTTGGGATGCACTGTGTTATTTTATCTACTTTATTCGTATGGTACTATAATATATCTGGAAGTTAGAGAGAAATAGATCATAGAGGTTAGTAACGAGTCTAGTTTGAGTGAGTTTTTATTTTTAACATGAAATCAAAATTGTCAACCAAAACTTTATATGAATTCAGTTTTTATTAAAGTGCTGAATCAAAAATATATGGTATGTACTGTGTTAGTTTTACTTTACTCGTATGGTACCATAATATAATCTAGAAATTGGAGAAAATATATCAAAGAGGTTAGTAACAATTCTATTTTGACAGTTTTTTTTTTTTTTTTCTAACCATGAATTCAAAATTGTCAACCACAACTTGTATTGAACTTGACTTCAAAATCAATTTAATTTTGCGTCGAGTCGAGTCAGTCTTTAAATGGAAAATTTGAGTTAATTTTAAATTGTACAATAACAACATAGCCTTAATCCCACTATGTGGGGTTGGCTACATGAATCATTTTTCTCCATTGCATCCTATTTAGTGTCTTATTTTCATTTAGTTCTAATAAATTTCATTTAGTTCTAATACAATAAGCCCAAATCTTTCTAGGTCTACCTCTGTCTTTCTTAACAATCTTTCTAGGTCTCTAGGTCTACCTCTGTCTTTCTTAACATAATTCAAATCTAAAGCATCTACTATCCTAATCAGATCATCAAATGGTCGACGCTTGATGTGACAAAACCATCTAAGACGACTTTCTCTAATTTTGTCCATCACAGGAGCTACACAACCCTATTACGGATATATTCATTTCACATTTTGTCTCTAAATGTGAAGCCACTCATCCACCTAATCATTCTCATCTAGGCAACACTTAACTTAGTATAATGCTTCTCTTTTAAAGGCCAACATTCAACGCCATAGAGCATTGCAGGTCTCATCACCATTTTATAAAATTTTCCTTTCAATCTAAGCAGTACTTTTCTATCACACAAAAGGTCCGAAGCATTCCTCCACTTCAACCAATCAACTTGAATCAATGTAGACCTCCATAATTCAAGTTTTTTTTGGGTTATTTCTCTCGTCTTATCCACAATAAGGATATTATCAGCAAAAAAATACACCAAGGTACATCCTTCTGTAAATGTCCAGTAAGACCATCCATAACTAAAGCAAAAAGATATGGGCTTAAAGTCGATCCTTGATTTAATTCAACAAAAATAGGAAAATATTTGGTCAGTCCTCCTTCAGTTCGAGCACAAGTAACAGCTCTAGTATACATATTTTCAATTACTTGAATATAATTCATATCAACGCCTTTCTTCTCAAGAACTCTCCAAAGGATATCTCTTGGAACCTTATCGAAGCTTTTTCTAAATGCTTTTTCTAATAAGCTTTTTCTAAATCAAAAAAAATCAAATGCAGATTCTCCTTATTCTCTCTATACTTCACCATCAAATTTCCCAATAAATGCATAACTTCCATAGTAGACCTACCCAACATAAATCCAAATTGATTATGAGAAATCTTTGTAATGCGTAACCTATGCTCAATTACCTTCTCTCATAATTTTAAAGTATGATACATCAACTTAATTCCTCTATAATTTGCACTCTCTTGTGCATCCCCTTTATTCTTAAAAATGAGGACCAAAACACTCTTCATCCACTCCTCAAGTATCTTTTTATTTTTTAAAATATCATTAAAGAGTTTAGTAAGCCAAAAAACTCCAAAATCTCTTAAATATTTCCATACTTTAACCGGGATATCATCATGTCCTACAGACTTTCCACCATTGGTTTTCTTCAAATTCTCTTCATTTTCTTTTTTACTAATGCGACGGTAAAGATGAAACATTTTATTATTATTAACAATATTAAGATCACTAAAGTCGATTGTATTTTTATAAACTTTATTAAAAAGTTTATCAAAATAACTCACCCACCTATGCTGAATATTTTTTTCTAAGAAAAACACATTTTGATTTTCATCTTTAATACACTTTATTTGAGTTTAATTTTTATTTTTATTTCTCTTTGTTTGGCTAGTTTATACATATATTTTAACCCTCTTTAGTATCTATTCTATTATAAAAATCATTAAAAGCGGAATTTTTAGTGTCACAGATTGTTCTTTTAGACTCCCCACCGGTCGCCTTTGATATTTTTCTCAGTCTCTAAGCTTTTACAGTTAAACCAATTTTTATAACATAACTTCTTCTGTTTTATCTTTTCTTTCACATCATTATTCCACCACCAGCTATTATTATTTAAAGAATTTTTTTTCTTTTAATTCTTAAAGTACATCTTTTACTACTTGTTTAATAGTATTTGTTACTTAGCGTCACAGATTGTTCTTTTAGACTCCCTACGGGTTGTTCGATATTTTTCTGTCTCTAAACTTTTACAGTTAAACCAATTTTTATAACATAACTTCTTCTATTTTATCTTTTATTTCACATCATTATTCCACCACCAACTATTATTATTTAAAAAATCTTTTTCTTTTGATTCTCAAAGTACATCTTTTGCTACTTGTCTAATAGTGTTTGTTACTTTATACCACATAGCATTTGCTTCATCATGAACATCCCAAATTTTGAAATCTTGAATTTTACTCATAAAAATAATTTTATTTGTCTTTTAGGTTCCCCATCAAATTCTACGATGATGGGTCATTGTATTCTTTATTTTACAACTCTTCATTTTAAATGCTACATCTAATAAACGATGTTGGGTACTTAAATACTCACTTGGAATTACGTTACAATTTTTACAATCTGGACGATCTCTTCTTCTCATAAGAAAATAATAAACCGCGACGATCTCTTCTTCTCATAGAAAAATAATCAATTTGTGTTTTATTAGATCCACTCTTATAAGTAATAAGATGTTCATCTCTTTTCTTGAATAAAATATTGGCTAAAGTAAAATCTAAAATAACTCTACCTTTTTCATCAGTCGCTCCGAAACCTTAGCCACCATGAATATTTCTGAAATCTTCTACCACTCTGCTGACATGTCCATTTAGATATTTCCATTTAAATCTCCTCCAATAAACATTTTTTCTTCCATGAAGTCTTCTAAGTCATTCAAAAATTTATCTTTATACCCTATATCTAAATCTACTTTATAATATTACAAATTTTAGTATTAATGATAATCTTAAGGGCTATAATTCTATCTACAACTCTATTAATTTTTACAACTCTTACCAGAATACCAAAATTTAAAACCTAAATTATCAATTTCCTTAGCTTTTTCTCCAACCTATTTAGTTTTTTTAGTACATAAGATGTTGATTTTTCTATGAATCATAGTATCAACTTATTCCATTAATTTTCCATTGAGACTACCTATATTCTAAGATCCTATCCTAATATTAATTTCATTAGTTTCATGGACTAATTTCTTTACCCGCATCCGTCCGTAATATAAGAATTCTTGCTTATTTGACACTACATCCGGATGCCGATGTCGTGACTCTTGCACACTTTTCATTGTATTTAGACTATACAAAGCGTCACTTCCAGGAAACACCCTAACACTTACACAATGATTAAAATGATTTATGTCATGATTTTTTCAACAAGTTTTACGCTGGTTGTCGACTACCTAACGCAATCTTCCACTTTTAACATCCAGACTTGCGACCGGCAATTGTAGTGTTTGTTAATTTCTAAATTGCGAGAGAATAAAATTTTCGAGGGAGTGATTGAACTTAGGACCTCTTGCCTGAGATTGAGAATACCAACCAAATGGACCAATAATATATTATATTAGTATTATATCAAATATATATAGAGTATATTTTTATAACCTGCGAACTATTAATATAGTGAAGGAAGAATTGTGATGTGTGTTCATGTTGTAGTAGGATGCATATCACCTATTCTTAACATTTTCTCTCAACACAAACTTATCTCTGCACCTTTTCAAATTTAAAATCTTTCGCAATTCGTGACTCCTGAAGTAAAACTCTCGCATATTTTTTTTTCAAAAATATATGTAGGCGGCTAAAAGCTTTGTGGAGAGAGCCCTGCTTTACAGTAAGGATCTTATGATAGGAAATGGACCGCAAGGTCCCTTTGATCACCTGTTCATGCTGAAGAACCAACAGAACAATTATGCCCAGAAATCACGATTCAATGCAAATAGTTTATTATTGTATGCCATTACTGACTCTCGAATGAACAGAAAATGGAATCGCTCCATTACAGAAGCTGTTAAAGCTTCCATTGAAGGAGGCGCCACCATCATTCAGCTAAGGTCCTTTATTTTCTTTATGTGAGTTCAAATCTTGTATATGCTCTCTTTTGAAACTTAAATTCTACTTTCTCTTACAAAATTCAGAGAAAAAGAGGCAGAAACTCGTGAATTCATTGAATCCGCCATGGAGTGCATGAAAATTTGCCGTTCTTACAACGTACCTCTACTGATCAATGACCGGATCGACGTCGCCCTTTCCTGCGACGCTGATGGCGTGCACATCGGCCAGTCTGACATGCCGGCGGAATTGGCTCGCAAAATTCTTGGTCCAGGCAAGATCATCGGTGTGTCCTGCAGGAACCCGGCAGAAGCCATGAAAGCTTGGGTTGATTGTGCCGATTACATCGGCTGTGGTGTAGTTTTCCCTACCAGCACAAAGCAGGACACTGTGATCATCGGATTAAAGGGTCTCGAAACTGTTTGTTCAGCGTCGAAGCTTCCTGTGGTTGCCATTGGTGGTATTGGTGCTGGAAATGTGCAGTCAGTTATGGAACTTGCTGCGCCCAATCTGAAAGGTGTAGCAGTTGTGTCTGCTCTTTTTGATCAGGAATCTATTGTTGCTGAGACCCGCAGACTAAAATCATTGTTGACAGGAAGGTGATGCCTTTGGGTTTCTCTTGTTCTTTGTGAGAAAGAGTGAAGTTTTTCTCTTTTGATGTTTTATAATAACTAATATGAACCAGAATCCCTCACAACATTGGCTACCTTTTTTTATGTAACTGGTTGTGTTCATATTATTTTATTGGGTTTGGCGTGGTGTGCCTGTAAAAACCGTTATTTTATTTTGCGGATGAATTTATTATGATATAGTTGTGATTTAGATAGGGGTGAGCGTTCGATCAATTTGGATGGATCGGTTTCAATATGATCAAACTGTTGCAACGAAAAATTGAAATCCGAAATGCAAAGCTAAATCAACCGAACCATAATTTAGTTTGGTTCGGTTGTGAGCAAACTGAAATTTAGTTGGTAGTTGGAGATCAGTTATGAACAAATATCAAGAATTACATATTACAGCTTGTGATGGCAGACTTCATTTTTGGTCAATATTTACAGTTTGATGGGATCTGATTCTCTTTAATTATTCATCATCATGGCTTATTACACTAATATGCAATGTGATAATTTATTTTGGGTGATGGGTTCTAGCAAAATCAGAGTGAATTTTATAGATAAATGCTAAATAGATTGAATATGTTATGTTGTATGATAATAGAATCTTAAGTTGGTTCGTTCTTCGTTCAAGCTTAGCTCAGTCAGGGTTGTTCTTGGCTGGCTCGACGCAAAATCTCATTAATTTTCACTTGAACTTCGCTTAAATTTCAAGTTTAACTTTTGAAAACATTTAAGGAGATTTCATGGCACTTATTTCTTATTGTTTCATATATACTGTTTTACCAATGCATGAAAGGATGTTTTGATATTTTAGAAGTTAAAATAGTAGTATTTTTTATATGATATGAAAGATTTAGGTGTTATAAATGTTTAAAAAAAATTTACATAAAGATGCAAAAAAAAAAAA